GAACGAACGAACGAACGAACGACGAACGAAAGAAAGAAAGAAAGAAAGAAAGAAAGAAAGAAAGAAAGAAAGAAAGAAAGAAAGAAAGAAAGAAAGAAAGAAAGAAAGAAATGCTCACAATTTTGCTTGTACAAAGCCAAGGTTTTATATTTAAAATTTTATAAATATGCCACATAGTTATACATTTTATATGCCAGCTGTGCTATGATGAAGAATTTTATGTTGCAAAAGCAGCAAGACAAGTTTCGGTTTGATATGAAAGCAAGTATTGCATATACTTAAATTTCTGTGTTTTTCCTACAAAAAAATCCCTCAAGTCTTCAAAATTTTCCAGAAAGTTTATATTTCTATACAGGAAGAAGGGGGCAGACTTCCGCTACACCTTCCCACACCATCTGGATTTGAGCCTAAAATACCAAGGCAAAATGTGGATGCAGGAACAGAAGTTGTAAGCACATGTGTTTTGTTATACTGTACTGTGATCATTCCTGTTCACACAGCACATCTATTAGGGCCTTAGCTTCCAATATTCTGGTTTGATGGATCATGAGATAGTATGACCCTGCTCTTAAGCTGGCAGAACTTTTGATCAGTGAATCTTTTCTAAGCCCTAAATTCATTAGAATGTCATACTGCCATGGAACAAGACTTTTGATCTTCTGAACTGGGCCTCATGAAAGAGCTGTTTGAACTTTTTCAAACTCCTTTTTTTCAGTAGCATACACTTGTTGAATTTGGACACCTTACTTATTACGTGCAGAAAGGAACAGATACATGTCCTCTGGTTTTCATATAATGCAAGAGTAGGGAATGTGGTCCTCTGGATATTATTAGATTGGTGCTACCATCAGTCTGGCAACAGAGTAGGGAATGTGGTCCTCTGGATATTACTAGATTGGTCTGGCAAGCACTGGCAGTGGTGACTGATTGTGGCAATTGCAGCCCCAGAAAAATCTGGAGGACCGTTAAGTTTCCCATATCAGTTCATCTGTTGGCATTAATTCACAGTGTCTGGATGTGCTCCATCTTTCTTAACAAGAAAGTCACTCATAAAACTAAAATGTCAAAATCCCTTGGAACAGATCAGCGAAGGTACAGGAGACACTGCGCTCTCCATTTCTCCTTATATTTGGAGCTTGTTCTCGCAGCACACCACACTGTTCTCCAAATCTTTTCTCTACCCCAGTTTCATGAAGTATCTGGTTACTCCCAAGTCCAAGGGTACCCTAACTTTACCTTACTGTGTCTTTTCCCAACTTTGGCAAGGGGAGACCTCTTATCTGCTTTCAATAGTCCTACCCACTGTCCATGCTGTTAATTGATCCAAGGGTGACATACCTCACCCTCCTCTCCTGCTGACAAAGGCAGGAAGGAAAAGCCATCTCCCACTGATATGCTGAGCTTCACCAACCGTTGAATGCAACCATTCATGTGACAAGCTGGAGAAAACGCTTCAAGAAGTGCCTCTACTGCACAGCAGACAAACAAAACCTCAAGCTTCCCAGTCCCACAGTCACTTCCAGAGGGGAGCATTGGAGCTGGACAGTGACAAGTGGTGGTGCTCAATGGTCACCTCTCTACTGGCCACAACAACCTTACCCCCATCAACAAGCCTTCAATGTCACAACTGCAGAGAAAGGCTGAGACTTGTTTCAGCCACTGGAAGCACAAAACAAGCCCCTGCTTCCCTTCCTCGTTCCCAGGCAAACAGGTCCCTACCGTTCACTGGGCTTCGGAGGCTCTCCAATTATGAGGACCTTTCCCATCTCTCCTCACCCCCACACTTTGGCCAGAAACACAGTGGGTCGAAGACCAACAGATCAAGCAGGTCAATTTTATTTCGAAAGCAGTCCCATGGCTACTGTGTGAATTCAGCTTGAACAATCTCCATTATGATGGGTCTCCTCAAGACAATTCCTCCCTCTCCCCCCAAAAATGTATTTATGAAGATGCAGTGCTCTCAAGGGAGTTAAAACAATGGAAAGGAGTCATCAAATACTCTTCACTTGGACCAGGAACAGGTTCTTTTCAGCATCTGCACTTAGGTTTTTGAACTCCCCAGGAGTTCGTCCTTCTTTTATCAGAATGGCCTACTCTCGGGCAATTTAAACTTCCTTGTTTAGAGCATTCTAAAGATGTAAATATTTTCAACACTCGTGATATTCATGTTTAACCTAATCGATTTAATTGTTTCACTGCTGAAATCTCTTCTCTTTTTTCATGGCAACTAAAAATGGTTATGGAGCCCTGTCGTCCTTCTTTTATCAGAATGGCCTACTCTCTGGCAATTTAAACTTCCTTGTTTAGAACATTCTAAAGATGTAAATATTTTCAGCACTCATGATATCCATGTTTAACCTAATTGATTTAATTGTTTCATTGCTGAAATCTCTTCTCTTTTTCATGGCAGCTTGCATTTATTGTTCTGTAGTTTTTAGGGTTTACACAAACTTGCCTTTATTAGTTTTTACTGTTACCTTAGCTGCCTTTTAAAAGGAAAGCCAAGAAACAAATGCTATAAATGAGTTTTAAGGAACAATTCTGGTCCAAAGGGCTGGTTTCCCCCTCAAGGACAATCTGGCAGGCCATAAGACATCTTGGGCAGGACCCTTCCAAACTCTGCTTCCTGCTGTCATCTAGTTCTGACTTCTCCCCAAGGTCAGTTTACTCATGAACACAGAGACACATTTTCTGTGTTCATGTCCTATGGGCCATGAACTGGGACAGCATGCGGTCTGTGTGTGGCATTTCTGTGATAGCTCTGATTTGAGAAAACAGAACAAATCCATCCCTACAATGGATTTTGGAGCTCTTAGAAATCACCACCTGAGCTTTCATTAATTCTAAAGTTACTTTTAAGATATGGTATTCAGGGATTCCAATTCAGATTTCAGTAGAGAAGGAAAAAGATCTTGGCAGGACTGAAAAGCTCTTAGTACATTTTTTTAAAACTATATATTAAGAAAAAATATGAACCAATACAGTAGTATCTTAAAAGGAGTTTAATGACATTAACATTTATCCTTTTAACATGGAGAGGCAATTGCTACTTAGTTGTTTATTGTTTATTATAATGCCTATGAAATGTGAAGAACCAGTTTGTGAGATCAATAAATGTACCTGAATAACAATCTCCAAACCTAAAGGTTACCTATGGTCTTCCCACTCTCCTAAAAGCGTGACTGTTGGTATGTTCAAGAGTTACTCTTAAAATCTATCTGTTGATGTCCCCTAGCACAAGATTAGAGGCAACTAAAAATGGTTATGGAGCCCTGTAGGTGAATGCATGTCCTCTGTAACCACCACTCATCTGGACAGGTAGATGGGAAGAGAGTCAATCAGGTCCCAGAAAGCCAGCCAAACTCTGAAAGGTTCAGTCAACACTACTGGGCAGCTGGAGTTTACAACCAGGACCAAATAGGGGTGGGAGAGATCTGGGGGAAAAACGCATGAAAATTGGGAAGCAGAAGAAGCATGGGGTATTTCAAGGTTACCAGGAGCATGGGGAAAGCATGGCAGAGCTTCTGGTTGTGGAGGGAAGAAAAGAAGCCTACCTGCCAGGGAGGCAGTGGTGGGGACACAAGATGTTTATAAATTAGGCATACTAGCTGGCAGCTTTCCTAGCCCTAGGGCTATCCATGGGGCCAGTGGAGGAGGAGTAACGAGCTAGCGGGAATAGGAAGACTAGGCAAGCAGATGAGGCCAAAATAAATCCTGGAGAAGCAATTTAAGAACCTGCCAAAAAGTTCAGGGAAGAGTGAGGAGGAGGAGGAGAAGGAGGCGCCAGTCACGGAGCAGCACAGAGCTCCTCCTACCAGGAGAATTGGACACGTCGCCATTCCGGGTAAGCCTGGTCCGGCACGGCATGGCACGGAGTGGTCCTGTGTCCACCAGGGCAAGCGAACGAGGGGGACGCTCGTGGTTTCGGGCGACAAGGCAGCTGGCTGAATCCGGTGGGAGAGAAGAGCACCCGTTTACATGCCTACACCAAACCGGTTTTCACGGAGAGGCGTCCAGCTTGCCGAGTCCCTCAGAGTTCAGTTTCTGGCTTGAAGCGGAAACCTTCTCGCCCTGCCCACGGCTGGCTTGCTTGCTTGCTTGCCCGCCGGAGGGTCTCAGAACAGCCGATCGGTTCCTCGCAAACAGGAACGGCCACCCCCCCGCCCCCCCAAGGACCGTCGGCCTCAGGGATGCCTCAAACCCCGCGGTTCGCGCGCCCGTGATTGCCATTCCTAAAATCGCTGACCCGTGCCCTTTCCTCTCAGGTCGTCCCTGACTGACTCCCACAAGCGGGGAGAATTTTTCTCTCTCTCTTATATCCTCGGATAGATGCAGTGAGGGGGGCTCTGATGCGCATTAGTCCTGCCGATAAGGAGGTGCTTTTTATTCCGGATTAACGCTGAGGTTTTACTCCTTGCATAAATGTAGTGCAAGGCTTTTTCAGCAATCAGATACAATCCCAGAGACAAGCTCTGTCTCCTTCCTAGTCGAAGGTTTCACGCCCACCCACGCACCCCACCGGCCAGCTCTGAGCAAAAATAATAATACTGTCAAGTTTTCCTATTTGGGGGTGAAAAGACTCCTGCTGAGCTTGGACGCGCAACATGGATACACGTGGCCAAAAAGACGACCCACGAGGGGGGAGGACACAGTAACATCCCCCCCTTCTGCCCCGCGGGGGAAACTGAGGGGTGGGCGTGCTTCTATCTCGCCCCCGTGGGTTGACAGCAAGGCATTCCCCGCAGCTGTGCGAGCCTACGCCCCTGCTCCGGGCCGGTCCTGGCGTTCCGAGTCGTCGGAATCCGGCGCCCGGCTCCGAACGCGGCGTTCCTGTGGAAAGCGGGGGGGGGGAGCGCCGTCGCCGCTTTCGGAAGCCGGAGGCAACCGCTCGGCGCCACCTCGCTCGCCTCTCGCCGCCGCCGGGGCCCTGAGCAGCCTTTCCCCACAACCCCGTTCCACTTCGGGCAGCCAGACAGACGCGAACTTCTGCCTCTTTCTACCTTTCGCTGAACTTTTCCTGACGTCTCTTGCAAACGCTCTTTCGGGCGGCGATGCTGGAAAAAAATCCCTCGCGTCTCGCGGAGGCGGTGCAGCGTTTTGCCTGGAGGCTCCCTCCGCGCCGGCCCCGATGCGCCGCCGGTGATGAGCTGCGTCGCCGCGCTGCTGACTGGGTGAAGTCGTGGCACTTTTCTTTTCCTTTTTTTTTAACCTCCCTAGAGCTTGCAATGAGTGTTTTTTTTTCTTTTCCCCTCCCCTCCTGGAGGATCTCCCT